TTAAAGCTCCAGAAATCAGATAATAATCCGATTTTGAGAAGCATGTGAACTTAGCCACTCTCTAGAATAGGTGATTATTTAGTTCAGGTGTAAATGATCAGTTCAGTTACAATATAATACCAAATGTCCAATGCATTACACTGCCAATACCATCATGCCATTATAACAGCAATGACTATTTTATTATTTTATTTTCAATTTATTCAATATGGGCATAGATATTTAATTATAAAATAAATATCAAAATAACAACATATGAAGAAAAATAAATAATCCTAATAATAGCAACAATAAATACAAAAATAATGAACTAATCATGAACTAAACTGCAGTGCTTTTCATGGTGTGTGCATATGTGTGCACTCAAGCTGATATTGTTGATACAGCAGTGCAAGAGTGTACTGTATATCTGGCAGGTGTGAACTGTTGCTAGGTAACAGCTGCCAGAAAGCGAAGATGAGTGTCATGAAGCCAGAGGTTCTAAAAGTAGAACATTTAAGGACAGCAGAGGAAGAGGAGACACCGGGATGAATCATTTTGAGCGTAAGAATTTTCTCTGAGGCAGATTCGACTCTCTGCACTACAGGTTTCTACCTCAGTGGTACAGGGTTGGCGGTGAAATACCAGCCAGTTCATTATGCTGTGGTGTCCTTAGGCAAGACACTCCAGTAGAAATGTGACGTGTGAGGAACTGGTGATTGAAATATTCAGTCTGCTTTGCAATTTATGTTTCTACTGATACATGGCAGCTGACGTCGTCAACATTCCCTGGGAGCGTGATGCTAACTAGAGGCTCTGCTCTGATTGAGGCTCTGTTAGACTTTAATCCGAGCTTTATTTTAATGTAGTCCGACCAGAAACAGCTGAACACATAACACATACAGTCACAAGCTATTCGCCAACAGTTTTTCAGAATCAATATACCGTATTTTTTTGGACTATAAGTCACTCTGGAGTATAAGTCGCACCAGCCAAAAAATGCGCAATGAAGAGGGAAAAAACATATATAATTCACACCAGACTATAAGTCGCACTTTTTGGGGAAATGTATTTTATAAAATCAGAGACCAGGAACCGTCATTTCATCTTGGAGGGCAAGAATAGGCGTTAATATGTTAACGTAACATATTAACAGTTATTCAGACAATTATAGCATAAACAATATAACATAAGTTTACCAAACTCACAATCTCACTCCAAATCACTAAATCCTTTGAATTCTTCGTCCTCGATGTCACTTCTGCGCAATGTCTGGAGATAAACCATAGATCCATGAGGTAAAGCTTTTCTGCGTAGCCCTCGTCAATCTCAGCATCAGTTCCAGATAGAATTATTCCGGCCTTTCTGAATCCCAACAGGATGGTTTTGGTGGTCACTGAAGTTCAGGCTTTGTCGATTCATTCAGTGACTTCCAGGAAAGTTAAATGGTTCACCCGCCCCATGAAGCTGTGTTCTTCATCCCCGCTGTCTGAAAGTTTCTCGCTCACTCCAAACTTTCTTTCTGCTGCTCGATTACCGTTTTCAGCTGCATATTTCACTACTTGCACCAGGACAGTGACTTTTCTACAGGAGACATGCGCAGTAGAGTGCGAAGTAACAGTGGTACAGGATTAAATACTAGATACTGACACACAAGCCTATTTTTAATATATTAAGTTGCACCTAAGTATAAGTCGCAGGACCACCCAAACCATGAAAAAAAATGCGACTTATAGTCCGAAAAATACAGTAGAAAGCCAATATTCTAAAGGCTGTATCAGAGAGAATCACTGCCTTATCAGTGGCAAAATTAATGTTAGCCACTAAAGATCACAAACTTTGAAAAACCAGAGCTGTTTTGGCAACTGACATTCACTCAGTCACGAGTAACATCAGAACCTTATGGAAAAACATTACCACATGCAGCAGTGTTTAGGTAAGTTGATTGATGTAGCGATTAGCGGCGAAATTAGTAAAAATGCAACCGCCATGTGAGCTAATAAACATTTGTAAAATCTGCTGCACATGTTGAACAAACAATATAGTGGGTTAGTTTCACTATTCACTTAAAAAAAAAAAATCTAAAATCTGCATGGATCCTATACTTAAATTTGTGAACTTTAAAAAATAGAACAGGAGGTTAAAGTGGAAAAATCAGCTTTGCTATTATTCTTTTTATATAGCAGTTAAGTACAATATTTGAGTAGAATTTTTAAGCATCTGTACTTTACTTAAATACATTTTACGGTGTGTAGATTTTACTTTTTCTTCACTACATATGAGAGTATGCATCTGTACTTTCTACTACACTATGTTTCAGATCTGGACTGAAAAGTAAAAGTACTCTTTATAGTTTGAGAGTTAATATTCTAACTTTGAGCAAACCAAATGCACAAAAACACAAAAAGCTAGAAAATTTAAGAAATCAACTGAACTTAAAATCAGATGAATTCTTTATCAAAATCACTACATTTGATACTTTAAAATCTCAGCAAAATACTTTTACTTTTTACTCTTAAACAAAATTTTTAAACAAATACTTTAGCTGTTTTACTTAAGTAGATTTTTTTTTATGTGATACTTTTACTTGAGTAATATTTTGCCCCTGTATCTGTACTTTTACTTAAGTAACAAAACTGAGTACTTCATCCACATCTGGTATATACTGCAGTGTTTTAAGTAATAATAATAGTGTCCCAAGTTCTTTTTGAGAATTTTTGTGCAAACTTTGTCAGTCAAAAGTGTGTACTACGTGACATCACACAGGACTGCCTTAATAATTCAAGTGTTAAAGTGTTTGACTCTGCCGCTCTGTCTCTTCTTCGGTCCTCCAGACGCTGCCCAGTTTAGCAGCTCTATTTGAAATGTGGTCGTGTGTTTTGTCCCACTTTAACTAGCCCGTTGACTTGACCTATAAACAACAATGTCTGCACTGTCTACAAATGTCAAACGTCTTGTATTTTTTTTTACTGCCTCATAAAAATGGAATCGAACGAGGCAGCGGGCTGTTTGTGCAACTATTCTAAACACATTCACAGAAGGGACCGGCAGATCTGAACTTGGTCATAAAACGCAAAACTGACGCATTAAAAAAAAAAAAAGGCTCAATGACGCTTAATATATCCCCTTTAACGAACAACTTTTGAATCTTTTCAGCTCTTAAATGACTCATTCCTTCTCTGTTTCCTATGGAGAAGAAAGTCGACTAAACCCACGGATTGGACTGACAGGCAGACAAATAAATATGGAGCAGGTAATCAGAATTCTTTGGACCGGTGAATCACTGTCCACATGACAATACAGTGTGAGGGCTGTCAAAACACATCACCACCGCTGACAGCCGAAGCGCCAATGGATAATCAGGCCTACCAAGAAAAAAAAAAAAAAAAAAAAGGGAACCCAAAAGTCAGCATTTAAATAAAGCAGATAATACATTTTTTCAGTGCTTTTTCATTCGTTATATTTACTCACTGGTTTAATCTTAAAAGCCACTTTTATTCTCTGGCTTTTAACACATTTTTACTGATTTACTGCTATTTCATGATTTTTATGGTCTTGCTTTTATTTGATTTTACTGGTTTTATTGTTTTAGGACTTGTATGACCGAATTTTAGCAATTTACCTTTTTATTGTCTTCGTTTTATGATCTCTGTGCAGCACTTTGGAAACTGCTTTGTTTGTAAAATGTGCTATATAAATAAAGTGGATTTGGATTTAATCTTCTATACTTTTATGTACACTTTTTTGCATAATATTAATTAATTGTACTTTTACTTTCTCTCCAGCGATTAGGTCAGGAATCGGAATACACTAGACGGATTGCAAGAACCCTGAAAGTGCGAATCCAGGCACCAGCCAATCAGCAAAGAGCCATACATTTGGCAATGATTCCCGAGGTCCAGGATTTAAAGCTGGAACAAAAATAATGTTTGGTGAATTTTATCAAGGGGAAAAACATTTTGCCCTTCTTCCTAAGGAATTTGGGAAAAGTTTATTATACCAGTTATACCAGTACCAATCCTAATGCTGTGAGGTCAGACGGTTTCCTTGAAGTGAAACCATCTGACCTTCTCTCTGATCACTTCAAATAAATTGGTCAAGTCCAAATAAAATACTGGTAAATAGAGACATGCGCATCCAACAACAACTGTGACTTTTGTGCTTGGTCCAAGGACAAAAATCGTGCAAAAAAAGAAAGAGATCAACACTTCTTTGAAGCTCCCAGGTTTTTATGAAATTTCGGGTCTGAAGAAGGACTTGGCCTGAAACATCACATTGTGGTGTCATTGAAATAAAAATTTGAGAGCTTCAAAGAAATACAGTGCCAATCTCTTTTTATTTTATTTTTATTTTTTTGCATGTCCAAATAAAACTGATGCTGAGTCTGACGACAGCTATGCAGAAGAGGAAGCGGCACTCTACCTCCAGAGGTCACGGAGTTGCTCAAAAGTGACACAGAGGACGAAGAATTCAGTGGATTTAGTGGTTTGGAGTGAGATGGAGAGTTTGGTAAACTTATCTGAACTTATCTGAAGAACTGTTAATGTTATGTTAACAGCCTGTTGTTCTCTATATGTTTTTTTCTTCTTCATTACACATTTTTTGGGTGGTGCGACTTATACTCCGGAGCGACTTATAGTCCGAAAAATACGGTAGTTGTTTTTTGCTCAATGATAAAAGTCTGCAGTGTTTTTCAGTCCTCTGTGACATTACCAATTACCATTACTGTGTTCTTGAAAGGCAAATCCACCTCCTCATCACACCCACCAGAACTCGTGGAGATTCACCAGTGACCAGACTCAGTTCTTTATAAAATATTGGAGAAATTGTATTCTGGATCCCAGGCAACCTCTCCAGGCTTCCTCTCCACCACAGCAGCAAAACCCTCAGCCTATCATCTTCTCTTCACCACTACCAGCAACCCACTCATTGCTCTAACTGTGCCCTATTTAAAATGTATGTTAAAGCATTGCAGCCCAAAAGAAGACAGGTTGTGAGTGCGATCTCTGAGCATGCCATACCTTGCAGCCCTCACAGGCGCTGACTCCATAATGGTATCCGGAGGACTTGTCCTGGCACACGAAGCAGGGTTTGTAGACACGGGGCGGGGGCGGAGGAGAGGGGGGGCTGGGGACCAACTCCTCTGAACTGCTGCTCTGGGTCTCAATGGCTGAAAAACAACAACAACATATAGGTTTAGTGTGTTGGTAAAAAATACTGTAGTTGTGCAGTTTATATTTGGAAAGAATCATTATGACAGCAGTGACAACTGTGGGTTAAAATCCATGTATGCTTTTCTTTCTGGTTACATAAAAATGAAACGTAAATAAGTTTTCGTCTTCTTACTCACTTCGAGTACCAAAAAGAAAAAAAATACGCATATAACCAAATCCAAATCCACTTTATTTATATAGCAAACAAACAAAGCAGTTTCCAAAGTGCAGCACAGAGATCATAAAGTGAAGACAACAAAAAGGTAAATTGCTAAAATTTGGTCATATCTAAAACAATGTCCTAAAACAATAAAACCAGTCAAATCAAAATAAAAGCAAAAATCATAAAAATGTGTGTATGTATGAAATGCACAAGTGTACTAAGTACATGTATGCTTCTTGTGTTCATTAATCTATAATCTAATTGAATAATCAAAATAAATAAATAAAAATGAAAATAAATGAATTAACAACTCATTGTTTTAAGTTAAATTAATTTGTACATGAAATAGATCAACTTCAACTTGAACCAACCAAAAAGGAGCACTTCATGATCACTTCATGTTTTGTTTTATTTGTCTTTTTTTTTTTTTTTTTTTTTTTTTTACAGACCAAAATTTAGTCTCCATTGAAAAAAACAACAACTTTGGTGCATATTTCTGTTGTTACTTTGCAGCTAATGTCATCCACCTTCCCTGGGGATGTGGTGCTTAGTGTAGGCTTTGTTCTGTCTGAAGCTCTGGTACTCGAGTTAGACTTTAATCTGAGCTTCGTTTTAACACAATCTGATCAGAAAGAGCTGATTTAGCTGGAACTACAACAGATGACTTTTGAGTCTCTCTCAAATAACATTACAGTCACAAGTTAGATAGCATTAGCCAACAGTGTTTCACTTAGTCACTCTCACCTTTGTGTTGAAAATCAAACACAATGATCACAGGCTCCTGAAAATGTGTTGCTTAAATCCAATTTTAAGTTCCAAAAAACTTATCAGACTGTGTTTGCATAGTAGATCAGTAGTAGAAAGTAGTAGAAAAGTAGATCTCGAGTTCAGCCTCTTGGCGTGTGTTAATATTGCAGTTATCTTGGTACAGGGTTCCATGGTCTAAGGAAAAGTTTTCCACAGTATCAGTGAGCAAAGATACCAGACTTTTGGAATAACCCGAATGGGTGGAATAAAAGGACGAAAGAGTAAAGCATATGACACTAAATGTTGTGTTTTGAACCAAGACTGACTGAACCATGACTAAACCAGGACTGAACCAGAACTGAACTCAGGACTGATCCAGGACTAAACCAGGACTGAACCAGAACTGAACTCAGGACTGATCCAGGACTAAACCAGGACTGAACCCAGGACTGAACCCAGGACTGAACCCAGGACAGAGAAGGATTGAAGCAGGACTAAACCAGGTCTGAACAAGGACTAAACCAAGACTGAACCAAGGACTGAGCCCAGGACTAAACCAGAACTAAACCAGGACTAAACCAGGACTGAACCCAAGATTGAACCAGGACTGAACAAAGACTAAACCAGGACTGAACCAGAACCAAGATGGAGGCTTTTTTTTCCCAATAAACATGGAGATCTACCGTTCTATATCTATGATGTGCCCATTGTGTTACCATGGTAACCTAACGAACTTCTCACCATAGAGACACATGTAGAAAACACCCAGCGTTTATGTCATTACAAACTATCAGTACTCAAAAAACTCATTAAGGCTTTAGAATAGAACCATTCTTCTAACAACATTCTCACCTCTTGCTACCTTTTCTCACGGCTTATTTTCCTGCATCCTGAATTCACTTGAACATAATTTCAGAAAAAAACAAAAAACAAAAAAAACAACTCTGAGGCTATACCTTGAACTTACAATTTCCAATCTCAGAACACTCGCTCCTCCAAGTCAACCCCACAACCTTCCGTACGCGCTGGCAAAAACAACATCATTCCAATAACTTCTTTTGTGAGATTAGATTACATTCTTGCCATCCCCATAAACTCAATTACTCGTGTTCGGGCACATTTTTGTAATTAGCCCACCTGGTTTTCAATCTAATCTTCAGCTAAATTCACCCCGTTTGAACTTTTAGCTTGAATTTACAGAGTTGTATTTTCAAACTGTTAAAGTCTCCTGTAAGGTTAATTAGAATGCTCAGAAATGCATTTGATTCTGTCTTATCGGACTGGAGGAAGTTTGTGGAAAAAAATAAAGTCATGTAGGTTATGGGAGAATATTACGCAACCAAAACTTGTGCAAAATGGTAAAGTACTTGGAAGTTGATGTGATGATGATGGGAAATGTCAAGTCAAAAAGAAAGTGGAGGACAAAATGTGGCATGTTGTTGCTAAGTTGGATAAGTGAGCGCAAAGAGGCTTGGTTTTGTAACATGTTTTGAAAATGTCAACAAAAAATTCAAAAATGCAACAAAATGAGTATAAGTGTGCTAAAATGGTAGATAACTAAAGAGAACTTTCTCTTGCTTTTACAGGTCAAGTGGAGATAAAATGAGACGTTTGAAATGTGAAGTTTGAAAAAGTGAAAAAAAAAAAAAATGGAGCAGACGGCATTTCTGGTTATGGAAGTAATTTATTCAACGAATTTCCAAAATGTTTAAGAAAAGATTGAAAAAAATATTATTATGAGTATACAATGGCAGCCTGATTCATGAGCCGGTTTCACTTCTTAGAAACCATCTGACCTCGCAGCATTAGAATTTGTTTGCTTGATGGTTGGCGGGTATTTTTTTTATTTAAACAATCGCTGCTATCTGGTGATGACGTATGTAATGCGCCACTAACAGGGCGAACTGGTATATTAAGCTTTTCCCAAATCCCGTAGGAAGAAGGACAATAACGACTTTTCCCTTGATAAAATTCACCAAACATTCTCTTTGTTCTGGCTTTAAATCCTTGATCTTGGGAATTGTTGCCAAAACAGAATGTATGACTCTTCGCTGATTGGCTGCTGCCCAAACTTGCACTTCCAGAGTTCCTGCACACCATCGACCATCTTCTGATTCCTGACCTAGTTGCTGGAGAGAAATGAATTGAGCAGAGGCAGTAGGTGGCGCCAGACTGGCTAATATAATGGTGGTAATATTCAAAATTAAATAAATTGAGCATAAAATAGCGATCTCTCCCTTTTCAAACCCTTCTTCTCCATTAAAGTCTAACAAACTCTCAGACAGCACATGCCTACAGTTAGCGTCACACCATCAGAGAATGCTGATGACATCAACTGCACACAGCGGCCAATCTGACAGCTTTTAGAATACCAGATCTTTGGCATTTTTTGTCCTAACAACATGAAAATTGGCACTGCGCACATCCTTCCCATTAGGATGACATCCTCTGAATTTGAGATTGGTCGGGTGAGTGGTTCGAGAGTTATGCGTGGAACAGATAAACACACAAACAAACAAACAAACAGACAGTCGTTCCTTGCATTTATAGATAGATATCAGGGACATTTTATTTATTTTATTACATGAAAAAAAAACTCAGGTACAGTCCCTTTCAACACACAATATGTTTGCTGATGTTTTTCTTTTCCACAGCGGACCAAATGTCTCCTATCACTGTTCCATTCACATAGATGGGAGCAGCCAACCATTTTTATTAGTCTTCCCAGGTGGTCTCTCACTTCACTTACATCCATGAACGAAAAAATAACATCAAAATACTGCATTCGTGATAGTGCTTGTAACAATACCTGCTATCCGAAACTCCCGGCTGCCCCTTACCCCCTGCTGACATGATAAACCGCGATGCTTTATGGGTAAAACGTAGAGGTAGGTGGTCCTTTGGTACTACTGTATACCTGTATTGTGTGGGGGTTTTTTTCTTCTTTTTTTCCATTTTCTGCCCGATTAAGTTGAGTTGACTCATTCTTGCGAGTACACACAGAGGCTGCTGACAGACAGGAGAAGATAGGGAGGGGGAGGAGGGCGCAGACACAGGAGGGTGACCCCCGGACGACCCCTGGATGACCCTAGAGCGCGGGGTCAAGCGGGATGCACACACAGGGAGAGAGAGAAAGAGGGAAGGAGGGAGGGAGGGAGGGAGGGAGGGAGGGAAGGAGGGAGTGAAGGGGAATACCAGAGGAAGGGCCCTGCTTATTGGATCAGTAACAGTGGAATTCTGACAGGAGTAGAGCAAGGGAATTCTGTGGAGATAAGGCGAAGAGAGTTGTCATGGGAAAAAATATGGTCTTATCCTTTTTGGACACTCTAGCAGGACAGTGTCTACAGTTAAGTAAGAGTGTGTGATACTAACAAAAAAGTATATCTCAAACTACAGCAATTACAATTACTCTTGAAAATGGGTTGCCAGGGGTTTAACCTGCAGATAGAGGTCACATACAAGTTTTTTTTTTTTTTTTTTTCCATTTTCAGTACATGGACAGGTCATGCCTCATGCTCAAGAACCTCCAGAATTCACTCACTGAGCTGCAGAGGCTGCACTAGCACTGAGTCATGAGTGGCTGGAGGTACTGAGGTTCAGAGTGACCATTCACATCAGAGAGAGACATTTTAAGTTTGGATTTCAATAGGGATGCACTGATACCAGTATCGTAAATCGGCAATATTTAAAAATCTGATAGATTGGTTCCTACATTTAGGTATATACAGAGGTGTAATAAAACGGTTTTATAGGACAAAGTTGGCCCAAAACACCTAATACTATTTTCAAAGTTGTTCTGTAGCTACTCGAAATGACAAACTGTTTTAAAGGAAATGCATTATATTTTCAGTCTCTACCCTACAAGTCGTTAATATTGAGTATTGGCAGATACTTAAAACCAAAATATAGACTTCAGTATTGGAACAGAAAAACTGCATTGTTGCCTTAGACTAGAGGTCTCAAAACCTTTTTCTTCCTCTGAGCTACTTTTTGTAAAACGAAATACCAGAGAGCGACTAATTTTAGCGGTCGCCAGAAATTTAGTAA